GATAGCAGTACCGTGATAATAAAAAAGTTTTTTAAGTTAGGAAATTGTTAAAGGGAATTAGATACATTTAGTTACGGTCTGATGTTATTGAATAACCTCAGTTAATGATCACATTTATACAGCATTTCACACGTAGAGACCTAGGCAATTATAGGAGCATTTACTTTATTAGTACATGAAAGCATTCAGTTGTTGAAAAATGAAGATTGTTTGGAGGTACAAATCATCTTATTGTTTAAACAGCTGATTGTCTTGAATCTTATGATACTGTATTGATTTCTGACTGAGATGTTGTTTTGTATCATAGCAACAGTACAACACTATTTTATTATTGTCATATGGTATGAGCTCTTGAGGTGCAAGACAAATTCCCTCAGGGGCAATAAAAGTTAATTCAGTTCAACAGAACAGTAATAGGGAGGCCAGTAGTTACTCTAAACCAACAACCGGTTTTCCAATAAGAAATCACACCTGTAGCTTGAAAACAGTTCACAGAAAGCTACCACTGTAGCAATAAACAGTTTAAAACTTCAAAACAAAATCATGAGAAATGAAAATTCAGTTTACAATTACAATTAACTTCCTTGAACATAAGATTCAGATGTCTTTACAGAATGAAGTAAAAAAAAATGAGAAAGATGAAAATACACAGAAGGCGTACATCAAGATGGATAATAAGTATGTGAACACTGCCAGAGAAGGACAGTGACTCCTGTGACAACAGGAAAACAGCAGTACATAAGGATAGAACCCCCTTATTTTACACAGAGCATTTCGGCAAACAATGTCAAAACTACAGGGATACAGGATAACACTGAAGCCAGGTGACCTCTAATACATTTTAAAAGACCTGGTGTTATTGTTGTTGGTCAGTTCATGAATTGTTTTGGGTTCTAACGATGGTGGAGGGGTAATGGAAATTAACTGTGAGTGAAACAGAAAATAGAACTATAACATGTGTGAACTGACAGATGGGGATCCAGGCAGTATGTCTTCAGCCAGATTGAAACAAAGCCACTTGATCCAGGTGGAGGTTGGATAATGAGGAGGTTGGAAACACAAGGAGTTGAATATTTGGGGAGAACAGGGACTTGCCTGGAGTCCGGGGAAATGAGACCCAGGCTGAGGCTGGATCATCTCAATCGACAGCCTCATCAAACCAGGAGGTGATGAAACGTCAGTGGCATCGCAGACTAACAGGAACAGACCCTGGGCCACAGGCAGGGCGGTGAGGTGACCAGTCCAGACAGTCAGAGAGACGCACAGGGGGAGTCAGACTGAGGAAGGGAGTGGGATTGATGGTAGGAGGGTGAGGAAGCTTCCTGGATGGACAGGAAAGATGACTTATTAGATTTCCTGCAGCCACAGTGAAGGGGGGTTAGTCTGATGTCAGGGCGTGTAGATCTATATCAACTTACCCCATAAACCTCAGAGTCAGATTCTCTTTCCACTGGGAATCATCACGGTCCTCACAGAGTGTGGGGAACAGCAGGAGGCAGCAAGGAAGGAGGTGAATGTGGAACCAGGCTGAGGGTGAAATCAAAGCCCTTGTTTTAAGCTGGGATGACTGCATCTGTCTGTTATTCAAAATATAAATTATAAAGATTAAGAAGTAATTGTTCTCATTCTGTAAGTCATGGAGTCAGTCCTTCACATAAGAGTTCAAGGTTGGAGATTGGACATCAGTATCACTTACCCTTATCCATCCGAACATCCAAACTCGGAGGACATTCGTAAGAAATGCGGATTTCTGCAATGGTCACAGTTGACTGGGTCACCTGGAAAATGAATAACATTGAGAGGAAGAGGGGAAGGAAAGCATAGAGTTTGAGACCAAGTAGATCATTTCAGATGAAGAGTCATACAGATTGAAATATGCAGTCAGTGTCACTGGGAGGCTGTGCTGAACTCTGATTCATTGATGGACAGATATCGTCCTCACTAAAGAGACTGCAGAAAATTGTCCTGCTCTCTGCCTGTCCAGACCCCTTCAGCACAATCTCCCACTGACACTCATTCACACTGTGGAAGTGTTTCAAGCCTGTGTGACTCCACACCTGGAACTGTTGTCTTTAGTGTCTTAATCTAGTTCTCTTTATGATCATTCACAGTGATCTGTTCATAACAGGAATACCAAGTCCCAAACTCTTCCTCTGAGCTGGGATGTTGATCACAAGTATCAGAATGAGGAGTGGGGTTAGTAGTGGGGTTAGGGAGTGGACATACCATCAGCATCTGAACTCCAAGGTAATGCTTAAGACTCAGTATTCCTTTGATGAATAGAGATCACTGTGAATTATCAACCTTTATTTGAAATGACCTGGAACATTAGTGGCAGAGAAAGAAGTAAAGGAAAGTATGAAGAGATCTAGACTGTGACACTACAGAGAACAGCTCCAGGTGCAGAGTCACACAGGCTGAAACACTTCCACAGTGTGAACGAGTGTCAGTGGGAGGCTGTGCTGAAGGTGGCTGGACAGGCAGAGAGCAAGACACACTTCTCTAGTGTCTCATCTACAGTGGAAATGACACCTGTCCATTACCGAATCAGAGCTCTAGCTGCTGCAAAATAGTAAATTAACAGTGATTGAGCACCCTGAGTGACAGAAAAAGTTGAAATTGAATTACACACAAGTAAGATGTGGGGTTGCAGAGGTTTCATGGCAAAAGGCTGCTGTAGGAAATAGGAGAAACTGTGCTGAGCTCACCTGGAGATCTGGGGTGCCAGTAACACACTTCACACACAGAGCAGCAGGCAGAGAA